TCATAGTTTAAACGTGGATCATTTAATGCACAACTATTATGTCTATATACAATTCAGTCTTCAGCAGTAAACTTTGTAAAGTGTGATTTCTGGTTCTGCACAGCCTGGACCTTTTCCAAGGTACAGGAGATACTAGTTTTCTCCTGCCCTATTTTCAAGAAACACAATTTCAATAAAATAGAATATAGCCCTTAGCTTGAAAAGAGGGAAAGGAAGTGATTTCAAAGAGTGCTCAGGATTCCCATGAAAACACAAATCCTCTACAGTGTTTATATCCTCTTCTAACTCTTAATGGTATAAAAATAAAACCTCCCTTGCTTAAGCCAGATTGAGTTTCCGGGTACCTATGGCTATTAAATTGGATGTAATCCTCAATATTCAGTGGTAAAATGCTCTGACTTCTCCTTCCAGTAAACTTCAGAAATGTCCAGATTTATCTGTGTGATTTGGTCCTGACTGTTCTCTGAATTGGTTTATTTGGAGCTTGGAGTTTAGAACTGACTAAGTTTGCAATGACATATCATCTGGTTAGACCTGAGGAACACTAAACATGTATGTGGACCCTGTGCTTGCTGGTGCCCAGATCTGCAGTCAGCCTTACAGAAAACAGGGGGGAAACCCCAGTTCGGCTGGGATATGTTTCCTCATGTGAATGTTCTTGGTGTTTGCTTGCTTGTTTTTATCTCATAAGCCACATTTTGTGTCCCTTGGTGACAAATGCAGGTGGCATGATTTCAGCTGTAGCAGGACTTCCCCTTCTAAATCAAAGGTACCAGATGTAGTGGAAACATTAACTGCTAATGTGAACAGTGTGGTCCTGACTCACAGATCTAGTTTTACAAAAGTATGTCTGCAAATTATAGGCATCTTCTGTCCTCCTAGTCTGGTGAATATATGCTACAGAATTAAATAAACCTACTACTTTAAATTGAACACTATTCCTGTAAGTCCTTTTTCATCCTTTTGAATAAAACACTCAAAGTCTGAATTACTTAAATATCTTAACTCACAAAAGGCTACTAAAATTTCACTCTTTTATTTTTGGGGACATAGTGCAAAGTTAATTTCAATAATTCACACAGGAAAAAGAAGGTAAAGATGTGTTGATTGATTGCTAATGGCTATTGAGGTGCCCCAAATGCCACATTCCTAGAGCCAGACCTCTACTAGGTCTCCTATGAGCTGGGAATATTTCCTCTGGCACCACAGATTTTTTTCTGAACAATCCTCAGTGAGGTAATTTCTTTTCCATATGTCTTGCTTCTCTATCTGTAAGAAAGGAAAATGATCCTCGCCTACCTCACAGAAGCACTGCACATCATGAGAATAAATCCATTAAAATTCATAAAGCACCAGGTGCATTAAAGAGAACACATTGAATCTTAGCCTGAGGATTTATAGTTTTAAATATGGAAGAAAATATACTTTCATAGGCCTTGCAGTGCTTGCACCAGAAACCTTGAATAAAATTATGGCAGATTTGTACATCTGTCTCAACGCAGCAAAGAAGTGGCAGCTAAGGAGAGAAGCATCCTCAGAACAGCATCTCCTGCACTGCTTCAGACTCACAGCTGCCTCCTCAGCTACTTGTCCCTAGCCTGGATCCTGCACACTGTGGATAGAGAGGGGCACATTATGCAAGGGGAGATTCCCGTGCAGGCACAAGGGTGATCCACATGGACATCTTCCATGGACAGCAGGACAGGTATTTGTTTAGAGGTGGATCAGATTAAAGCAAGAATGCAGATATTTAAGGACAAAAGATTTTAGGTATTATGTTTGCATAAAACAACCAAATATCTGTGTGGCTGGAACCCAAGGTCTGAATCACAGTCTCATCTCTTCACCTCTCTCTGACTACCCCTGTACACCTTGGTAGTGGTAGTGTGAGGTTTGGGAACACTTCATTCCACTGAGCCTCACTGCAGGTAAAATATCATGTCCTGATCTAAACATTTACAAATATCATCTATAATTTCACTCCCTACAAACAGCACTACAGATTTTAGGTATAAAGGCTAATTGAATCTTGAGAACTCTCCTGTTATGCTGCATTCAGTGGCCTCTCTGTCCAGACTTGAACCTAGGAAGAAATCAGCAGGGGCAGATTCACATCCACAGGTCTTTTCCCCAGGCTCCTGAGGGTCCCTTTAGAAAGGAAGTCTTTCAAGTACTGCTGTTTAGCATGGAAAAAAGAGTGTTTGACCTGTGGATACAATTTTTGATGCAGAATGTTGATGAGATTATGTGCATCCTGGATGATGTGAGGTTTAGAGCCGTTTCAGAATTATGCAAACAGCATCACTGTTATCCCCTAATGGAGCCATATACCCTGCAGGGTTAATTGCTGGTGTGGTTTAGATTTTTAGATAATGGATAGAGATACAGGGGAAGCACCATCTGAAAAATAATGCAGAGTAATAATGACTTGGTTATTGATTAGTGTTGCAGGTGTGTAGGATAACCATGAGGGTCTGCAGTAGTTTTTTTGTTTCATTTATGCTGAGTCAGTACATTCTTTAATTTCTGATTAAAATCACTTCTAAAAGTAAAACCCTTACACAAAAATTAAAGAAATTCAATTTATACCAACACCCCCTTCCTGCCAAAAATTTTAGAGCTGGTAATTTCATATATAACATCACAAGAAATAATAATGTATTTCATCATTTCAAAGTGGTTTCAAATCTGAAATCAATGAGAGTGAATACATGTACCCCTGTGCCAAAATTCATGCTTTTAAAATAAACCCCACAATTATGTCCCATATATCATCTCTCTACTTGTACACTTAGCATTCTTCATTTGCAGGATACCAGATGTTTCCTGTGCAAACTTCTGGGCACACATGCAATTGATAAATTGAGAGGAAATTAATGAATTGAGAAGATAAGCCAATCTGGGCTGAAAAAGATGGTCTCCAGCTGTGAATGGAAGTGATTTATCATTGAGCTAAAGGATCAGCTTTTCTAGCTCAAACCAGCAGATACATCATTACATTTAATCCAGACTTCCACAAAGATATTTAAGAGTTTTGCAATTCACTTCAGCAGAGCCAGAATTTCACCCATAGTGTTTGCCTAGGCTGCAAGCCCATTCCCTACAGTTGTGTTGTTATTATTTATTTATTTAGCAAATGTGGTTATTTCTGTAGCGCAGGAATAAAAACCATCTCTTTGTGCACTTGGGGTAGGAAGATTGCAGCTGTGGCTGCTGCTTAGCACAGCAAAAGGAGAGTGAGCTTTATACACTCTTTTAAAGCTTTAATAATGAGAGTGCCTTGTTGACCTGTCCTTGACACCTGCCCAAACTAGTGAAGAATTGAAGGTTTCACAGGTTAAAAGCACATGTCTGGTTGGAAACATGAACACCTGAAATGTGCATGTAAGCTCTTATCATTTGCTCAGGTAAATGTTTGCAAGGAGTGAAATTATGGATGATATTTGCAAATGTTTAGATCGGGACATGGTATTTTACCTGCAATGAGGCTCAGTGCAATAAAGGGTTCTCAAACCTCACCACTACACTACCAAGGTGTACAGGGACTAACCAGGTAGAGGTGAAGAGATAAGATTGACTCCAATCATGGGTTCTAGTCACACAGACATTTGGTTGTTCTATGCAAACACAATACTATAGAGGTGAATTTAGATTTTGAAAGTCCAAATTACTTTTCATCTGACGACTCTGTGACTAGCTTACTCCAGGTCTCAAAAGGCAACTGGGCTGGTGTGAGAAAGGGGAAGAGAACCTACAGCAAAGGAGATCCTTTTCAAACAGCTGCAAGGTCAGTTTGGATGTATCATTGTACCATATGTCTTACTATGCCTTTACTTGTCTAAGACCAAGGCCTTAGAAACAGCTCAGCACATCAGAAATGGTTTCCGGGCACTATCACTATGAAGATAATCATCAGTGTTACAGTTTTCTTAAATTTCCTTTTAATTCTTATGCTACTCTGTTGTACTAAGGTGTTCAAAGCTCCAGTAACTTGCTCAGGCTCTTGGTGTAGGAATTGTAGTTCTTTATGCAGCAGAAACAGAACAATGTAACTTAACATGATGTTACAAAAAGACATCTGTGAATTCCACTGCACACACATCCATCATGGCAAAGTCACTGGGGAGGTAAAGCTGTGCTGACAGATCAGGACTTGGGTTTTAGAAAGACAAACTGTGCAACATTTCAAATTTTAATACATTGAACTCCAAAGAGAATTGAGTTTCAGATACACTCTTGGCCTAAAAGTCCTTGCCCAATGTAGTATGAGATTACCAGCTTGAGGAACTACCAACCACCAGCAAAACTTGGTCTTTCTGTGTGAGCAAAATAAATCTGAGACACATGCTATGTTCAGTCAGGAAACTAATCCCACTAGCACCTGAAATGTTGAAACGAAGAGGGATATATTCAGGTAAGGCTGTCAAAATCCATCAGAGCCCTAATGCCAGTCTGAAAGAACAGCCATACCTTTTGCCAAAGTACAGCAAACAAACAAGACATAAAGCAGAACAAGAAATACACAACAGTTGTCCTTCTGGCTATGTCCTCTAGCTGCAAGCTGCTATGAGCAGTTGTAACAGCACTTTTAAGAACTGCTTTCTGGAAAATGTGGATTTCAGCCCTTATAGTTAAGGTTTCACCTATTAAAACCACCTGCCCTTATTTAAATTAACATTACATTTTAATAGTCTCTTGACCTTAATAATAGATAGGATGGTGAGACCCACAGGCTGGATGGAATTCTGTGGGGTAATAAGGACCTGCTCCAATGTTGTTAGTATTTTTGATACATTTGGTGGCCACTCATTCAAATTTTGCTAGAAGCAGCCAGTATAAACATCTCATAACTTGAAAATCATCTTCTGAAACCTGATTTTTTTCTCACTTTAAACAAAATGTTCATCCCTAGATTCAGAACTCATCCTCAGGCCACAGTTGCTCATGCAGTTCTGTACAAAACGTTACCCTCAGAAAGCAGAAAGAATGAATGTCGTTACCGGATTAAGTCAAGCAGTGCATCTGCAGAGCTCATGATGGGCTTTCCACCCTCTTCAGTGCTCTCCTTCTGTGCTGCTCCACCAGGATGGATAATGGAGACCATAATTATTCCCACAATCACAGCCACAAATGTTGTCCACAGGTAGTAAGTGACGGTTATGATACCTAACCGACTGGACGTCTTGGCATCCAGGGCTGCAAGCCCAGACATCAAACTGTGGAAAGAAAACACAACATAAATTGTATCTTTTGCATAACATTAATGCAGCTGAAAGCCTATTTTTCTAATTATTCCAGTCTACCTGCTTCACTCAGGATTGCCTACATAGCAGTGGCTTTAGAAGCTTGCCAGCAACACTAAAGCTGTAGCCCCTGTGTCTAAAGGGATGTTTCCCAACTTCCATGTGAGATCCTGGTTACTTGAAGGAAGTTGCAGGCTCAGGCTGCACACCTGGGGACTGAATCCTACTGGCTGCTCCCTGGCAGGTTTACGTAAGCTACACATGTGATGGCTCAGTTGACAGGAGCAGTGGCAATAGTCAGTCATAAAAACCTAGGTATGAAACTCTACACATTGCAGCACCACAGAATAATTCAGGCTGGAAGGGACCTCTGAAGGAAATCTAAGCAACCCCCTCACCCCTTCTGGTGTGAGGTAGGACCACAACTTTGAAATAACGCTAAGGGGCAATTTTGTCACAGAGTCCTTTTTTCCCACCTTCTTGTTTGCTTTCTAGATAAATTCAAAGTCTGATATAGTCTTGCTTTACCAGGAGGTACTGGGGAACAGACTGAGACTCAGTGTGCCTCCAGGCTAAGCAGAGAGAGGGTATTGCATGCAGAGGAAACTCCTTCATGGGCAGTGTGTCTGCACAGTGGGGAGTAAAGAAAGTGCTATGATCACTTCTTTCCTCTTCAGCTCCCTGCCCACCACCACCACCAGATGACCGGTGTCCATCCTTTGCTTGTACATCTTGCCTCTGCCAAGCCTTACAACTCTCCACCAAGTGCTTTAGCTCCCACTGACCCTCTTTTACAGACAAATCAGACAGGGCACTGTTAGGCCCCTTGAACTTGCTCCAGGCTGCTCTTACATAGACCCTAAC